GTGTTGTAGAAATACTGCAATAATCACCACACTAATAGTAATAATGCTGGCTGAAATATATTATTTTAAGCCTCCATTTATCAATTTGTTGCATGTTAGATTCATGGTAATGTGCATTTAAAGATGTAAGTTTTGGGGGGAAAGTATTTAAAAATGTCTAAATGACTACCTCCATGACCCCAACATTGGAGACTTCTGCTCTAGAGCAGTGGTTCCCAAACTTTTCAGCTTTTTGACCCACAAAAGAACCACAGCAGAGACCTGTGCCCCCAAATATCTTTAATTAATAAACATGATCATAATAACATTCATTGAGCTACTTTTATCTATTTTAAGTAGACTAACCTCACTCCTTTGTAACAACTAAGGCAAAAAATATTTTAAAATGTAAATAGATCTGAAAATAATTTTCTAGACCCCAGCATGTTTGGGAACCGCTGCTCCAAAGCTCTGACTTCAAATCTTATTCATTATGACTGTAATCTACTTGTTTCATCCTGTGTCACAGCTGCATAACAGAAGGAGACATAAAAACAAATGAAATTAGAATTTTATTGGTAGACATTTCCCCCCCGAGCTGTCCACCATACGGACAAGACCCCTTACAGTCCCCCACCTCAAAATAAAGCATCTGCTACTATGTTCCCACCAAAAACTGTTTAAATACTATAAAAATAAATCAATTGCACAAAACATGACATTTTGCTTGTGATTAACTTTGTGCAACACGTATAGAAAATGCATATGGAGAAAAAAAACAGACAACTCTCAAAGCAACATAAAACCTTGTACTATAAACAGATTAGTGATGTAACTAGTAGAGCTTGAATTAAAGCACTCAATAATGAGACTGCTACAATCCATTTTACTAACTAAAATCAGTTTACAGTGAAAATCATATTCTGGTGCTCCAGTTTGGACTTACTGAACTTTTCATGTGTTGAAATTCAGCGACGGTGCAACTTTAAGTAGTGTTTCCTAAAAAGCGTCACATTGAGTCACTGAACAAAATGCGATTTACCAGATTCTGGGGTTTCACCTGTGAATTTGAGCACCCAAATGTGTTGAGAAAGAAAACATCTGTTTTAATCAAACAGCTGGAATGTTGGTCTTAAGTCCTGGGGGCAAAGCGAAGATATTTTAGCTAAACATCTAAAAAAAATAACAAATCCAAAACTTCCAACTTTACTCAAATATTTTCAAATGAGCTAAAGTACCAAAGCCAACCTTTAGGAAATGTTTTACATTTTGAATGTTATGGTTGTGACGAGGGGAAGGTAAAGCATGTGTCCCATGGCAGATCATACACACGCTTTTTGTATGGATGTGCAAACACTGCACACAGTTGGTGCTGTAAATTAAGCTATTACAATATAAGTATTACAATAGAAAACAAACTGGTGGGGGGGTGGGGGGAGGGTAAAAATAAAAAAAAATAAATCGGGGAATAACTATTATTTGGCTGGAGTTCAAATTTGTTGCGGCCTATTTACAATTATCAACATGGAATACATTCAAATCCATTTTCAGATTGCTTTAACGTGTTTTCTTGGAGTTTAAATCCACGTTTGGTGGAACTTTTAGGCAACGGTTAGTCAGCGCACACCCTGAATCAAACTAAAATCAAACCAGCTCCACCCATTGTTCATTCCTGTTGGATCACGTCTGCTACACGTGTACATATCAGAGTTTAGGTTTTTATTTGTAAAACTGAACGGAAAATTTGTGACATGTGGACCTCTGTGCAACTCAAAGGCAAAAACTCTAGAGTTACTCTGAGGTTTAAATTCAGACCTGCTCGTCCAGTTAGCTCACCCAATATCAGCAGCAACAATCGGTTTGTGTTTTTATTCATTAGTCTTTTTCATCTCATCCACATTTTTTTTTAAATAAGGTCGTCTGACACAGAGAGGACATAAGGCACAGACATACTGTACAGATGCTGGATCAAGACAAAAAGAGTACAATCATTGTGGCTTTTTCTAACTATTTTGCATCTCAGATGTTCATTTTGTTTAGTGTGTGATCATGTTGTGGATCTGTTTGATTTTCTTAGTTAAAGTCCTGCAGGTGAAGTCCAGAGACCAGCTAGTGGTCCTGATCTCAGATTCAATCCCACCAATGAGGAGCACTCAGCTGCACGTTTCATCCCTGTACCTGAACAGATTCTTATAATAATCAGACCCACTGTTTTAACAGTATTTCCCTTTTTTTTTCACAACAAACCAACACTCTCCTGTGATTATTATGACAAACTTGCAGCATTGCACAAACATGCTTTCATTTTGAACCCATTCTTGGTCAGCAGAACGTACACAGAGCGTGTTCCAATTTGAGATAATCTACTTAAAACGTCAAGAAAACCATGGAAACAGCTCAGATTTAGAGGAAATTTAGCCTTGCATGTAGAAGACAATTATTTTTATTTAGTTAGGATTGTGATTTAAGAAAACGAGTGAGGCTCACCTGCATGTGGGGGGGCCAACAGCTTTTAATGTGAGGCTTTTTAACAAGCCAGATTATATTTATTTCCATATGATTAAACAAAAACTCTTTATGACTTTGTAACCAGAACCACCTGAAGTTTACCATCTGCCAAGTGTTGGTCAGAACTAATCTTTAATAAAGATGTTAATAAAATGATAGTTTTTATGTATTTTACAGACACAGTACAGTAAATATTTAAATGCGTTACATTCTGCTTTGTTGCTAAGACAACCTTTGTGTTAAATTGTTTAGATTGATTTGAGAATGTGTGTTTCAAGTGTTTTCTAGGTTAAAAATGACTGATTTTGAAACTAACGTCTGCATTTGATTTGTCCTAACTTAAACAGAAGACATGCATGAAGTTTGTTCCCTAAAGACGATGTCACCTCTGTTTTTATTTCTAAGTGTTTTGATATAAAAAAAAAGAAAAGAAAAAAAAAAGCCTCTTTAAGATCCATCTTCAGTCAAAGGAAAATTCACATCCCTGATTTCCTGGTTGACCGTGTTCCCATTCAAATCCATGAATCCATCCAGGATGTGGTGCATTATGCTTTAGTTAAAAGTCGTTTTCATTGACATTTCTTCAGTAATGAGTCAGAAGCAACAGCCCTGAGGTATGGCAGCTCAAAGAAAAGAGTTTGATTGGAAAGATGCTCAGTTATAATCTTCTTGTGCTCCGTAGGGTGGCAGCAGAGGGAACATTTGTTGGCTGTTAGGAGGCAAAAATCACACAAGATGTCAAAAGTAAGACCCACGTGATGATGGTACATCTATGAACAGCATTTTTTTTTTTAATCTTTCCAATCTGCAGCAGTGAGATTCAACCACTTCAGATGATCTTGAAGGCAGCGAGATGAAGATGGAAGCAAAGGTGGGTGTATTTTTGAATTTTATGAATTCTCTCTGCATCCTGGCGGGTAAATCACTGCAGGATAAAGACGAAGCAGAGGATGAAGGCTAGTGTGGGTTTTGTTTTTAGTAGATATCCGGCAGATTCTGGTAGTTCCTGTCGAAGTAACCGCCTGAGTAGATCCAGTCCTGGGAGCCGGTGTAGGGGTTTGTGCCCATCTGGAACCACCTAACGCACACAGACAGATTAGAAAAACATTTGTTTTCACATTTCTGAACTTTTCCTATAAGATTGTTTTTCCATTCATTCATCATATTTTACCATTTAACTTGCTTTATTTCCTCATTCTAAGAATAGGTCATTTGTTAATTTATTCATTTTTTTTTACACATACAGTCTCCTGATATATAACATGTTCTATGTTATGTTGAGTTTCTGGTAACACAAAACGCGACTTGAACTTGGATAGATCACCACGTTAAACAACAGAAGCAGTTAAAAATGTTGGCAGCTGGCCTGAGCAGGTTAACAGTTTATCAGGTGTAAAAAGATGAGGGACGGCTGCTTTAGGTGGATGACAGAACGCTGGAGCACCCAGAGTCTGTGTGCTCGTTCGCTACCTGGTTCTCCACTCCTCGTTAAGCTTGGCTCGGTCCTTTCTGGCAGCTCTTTGTTTCTCTTCCAGTCGCTCTTTCTCCCTGCTCGCCTCATCTGTAGGGCAGGAAACAAAGACAAAAGTTTCCACGTATTATATGTTCAAGACGTTTGCTACAAATAAAAATGAAAGGTTTCATTTTGAGTTTAAATATTTTTTAAAAAAGGGGACATTTCATGCTTTTAAATCCTTTATTATTATTTTTGTTTGCACATTTAAAATCATTCCGTTTGTGTCTATTTAAAATGGAACTGCAATGCTTTCTTGCAACTCCTCTTTCACCTCTTTTCTGACGTGTGTCTCAGATCAACTCGTTTTCAGGCTGTCTCTTTAAATCCAAACGAGGCGCTTCACACCCCAAGTACACAACAAAATGCATTTAACATCTAAAAAAGTGGATTTTGCATGACATGTACCCCTTTAAAATCCTGAGCTTCATTCTAATATCAAACATCCAGGTGATTCAAATCATATTACCCATGTTTCCATTCTCCATGGCTCGGATGTCAGGCCTGAAGCGGCAATCGGTGGGGGCTAAGGTGGCCTCCATGCCCGGCTCCAGCTCGTTGAGAGACATCGCAAAGTTTGTGAAGTTGTACATCTGAGGAGGAAGGAAAAACACTGCTGAGTGTTTGTACTGATAAATTAATCCCAGCACGTTTATGTTAAATGTGTCAAAGCTTTTATTTTGAAACACTAGAGACTGTGAGAGAAGAAAATAAACAGTGACTTTGTGTAATTTACACCTGTATGTGTTTGTGTGGTGCAATTTACACCTGTGTGTGTTTGTGTGTGGATTTTATATAATTACCATCACAGAGTGTGCTGGTCTGGACTCTATCCTCCACAACAGAGTACTTCCTGGTACTACAGACACCGTCTCAAGGACCTCAGGCATATCATCTGCTTCGTCATTCTCTGGTTTCCCAAGAGCCTCCTGGAAATTTCCCATTTAATTTGAAACATTATTAAACAGAAAAGATTTAACTAAATGTTCAAGATCACATTGAATTCTAAGAATTGAATCAACAAACAGTTATCTATTGGAACAGAGGTAATCTGATGAATGTTTGTTTTTTGTACTGAGTTACAAATCTGCCAGCACACTAAGGCAGAACACGACGGAGCCCGCGACACGGGAGATTATTTTTCTTTTGTGTTCCCACACAATAGTATTGCGTTACCTCGCAAAAATAGTTTATCAATGTTGTGCCTGCCGGTTTATTAACAAACTCAAATGTTCACCATTAGCGAGTTAGCCTACTGCTTTAATTCAGCTTCAGAATGAATATATCACACAACCACGCATGGAAGTATGTCATATGCCGATATTTTAACGCAGTGCAGCCACGCAACATCAATGTCAATTTCACGAATTTGTGGCGACATCCTGTTTTGGTAACTGGATATTTCAAAATAAAAGTCTGATTTAATTCAGTTCATATTCAAAGCAATATTACGAGGGAACGCAAAGGTATTGCGAGGGAACGCAAAAGGAAAAAAAATCCCCCAGGTCCCCTCGCTGGCTCCGTAGAACACAACGTTAGCGCTGAGCCTTATGTTTTTCTCAAATAAAAAAATAAAAATAAAACATAGTTGAGGACACAACCAAGAGAAAATTAGGTTTAATTCTATATTACCAGACAGAAACTACAAACAAAATTATTTTCTCGGTCTAAAAAGCAACAAAGTTCAGCCTCACAGTTTTTTTGGTCTTTTGGTTGTCGCCTTTCTTCTCCGACTTCTTGTGGGCCTCGTAAGCCTGAGGGTCGACGCTCCACATGCACTCCGTCCACTTGCCATATATGATACAGAGCTTCTTTTTACTGGAAAAAAAACAGAAAAGGAAGAGGAAGTAGAAAAGATGAAGTTAAAAAAAATGAAGTATTGTGGGGAGGATAAGTTGAGAGACGAGGAGAAAAGATGACAAAACAAAAAGGTGAGAGTAGAGAGAGATTTTATCAGAAAAGAAAAAAGAAAAAAATAACAGGGAAATTATATTTTAAAGGGAAAAAACAATGTTTAAAGGTCTAAATGTTTGATCAAATAAATTTCACACTAAAAGTGACGTCTAACCTCTTGTCTTGGATGTATCCTTCAACTTTGTGCAACTCTTTGCCAAACATCCCACATGGCTTAAAATTCAGCACACACTTCTCTCCAGTGCTGCAAAAGAATAAATAAATAAATAAATAAATAAATAAATAAATAAATAAATAAATAAATAAATAAAAATAGAAAACATCTCATTGCTTGCTGAGTTTGAATAAATTACAGAGAAAAAAATCTAATTAAGTTAAAAGAAATACTGATTTCTGAAGGCGACAGAATAAAATTTATGAAATAAACCTTACATTTTCCCACTCTACAAACCCCGGTTTGCTTTATTGGATGAACATAACGATTAACATTTAAACCTCAATGCTGTGTTTACATGTTTTCTAGGTTTTCAACCAATCAGTGCAGCAGTAAACGGTGCGAGACGACTACACAGCCTGCGGCGTGAATCTGTGCCATGGTGTGAATATGGTAAGAACCAGGAAAACATGAGCTTTTCACAGCTTTCTTGGACAAACACAGCTTAGAGAAGTGATTGTTTGCCAGGGAGCACAGAGAACAAACAAGCTTCAGTCGCATATATCACAGCAAACAAAAGCTGCGGTTCTGTTTCTTTCCTTAGATGGCATCTAAACAGTGGATATTTATAGATTCTAATTAGAAAGTGGACATAAGACAAAGTAGTGGTGCTAAATATGGGGTATTTCTTATGTGTGACTGTGCAGCTTTTAATAATAAATCACTGTCATGATTACTGTGAGTTTGTCAGGGAAGAAAAAGAGTTGCACGGTGGTTTCAGTAGCTGCAGTGCATCATGTACCTGTGGTTGACTATTTCCACCGTGCCATACTGCTCTATCCACAGTTTGCCCAGGATGATGTTATGCACGCAGCAGTAAGGATTACTCCATGTGTACGCTTCATTGAGCCTGAAGGAGGAAGGGATGGAGTAAAGATGATGAGGGTTTGTATGAAGTTATAGAAATACAAACAGGAAAAAATGACATGAACAAATATTTCAAAGTCTCACTTTAGCAGTTCTAGTGTGATTGTTCCCCTCGGCTCTGCCTCAACACTTTTGCCCCAGAACTTGAGTTTTGGGTAAATCGAGCCGTGGAAGACAAAGTCTCCAGCTAGGCTCTCTGCGTGGAAGGCACTGACTGGAGGATGATGGGATACTTGCTCCGATACCAGCCGGAAACCAAGTTCTTCTCTGCAAAAAAGAAGAATTTAAAAGAAAATTCATTGTACAGGTGGGGAGTGATCTTAACAAAAAACTTGTGTGTGTGTGTGTGTGTGTGTGTGTGTGTGTGTGTGTGTGTGTG